GGACCGTGCGGAATGCCCGCTATTCCGAGAGTTCGAGTGCCTCCTATTCGGCACGTCGGGGCGACTTCCCCCGCGCCCCCCTCGATATATTAAATTTGCATTTTCTGCGTAATTGAGATTGCAGGTAATATATCTTCACGCATAGTTGATTAAATTCCATTTTACGGGTTCGCGTGGTTTCCGTCGGGAATATTACGGAAAGTTATTGCCCGCTGCCTCCTCTCGGCCCCTCTAACTCGCGCGAGCCGTCTTCGCTCGCCTTCCTCTCGATGCTCGACGGAAGGCGAAACGTCGCGGATCGTCGCCGGAAATCACCGCTCTCGGATCCCGATCGAGTCCCTTCGGACCTCGGCCCGGTTTCCCCCGCAGTGGCTCCGCTCCTCTCCGCGAGCCGGAGAATTTAGCGCGCAATTATCCCGGAACTTCTTAAATTCTCGATGCACCCGGCCGGGCGTTCGAGATTTACGTCCGGGCCGAAATGATTAGAAGACAACGAGGCGCGTTATTTAGTCTCGGGTGGCGAGCAGCTCGTCGTAACTCGGCCGTATCGCGAAAACGCGCCGGCGAAAATCGAGAGGATTTACGCGCTTCCCGCCTCTCGTCCGCCGGAACGGAAGGCCGGGAAAAATGGACGCGCAAAATATCGTTAAGTTGGGATCCTTTAACGGGGACCGTTTTCATCCCCGTTGCGGTAATAATTTAAAATAAAGCGCGGAGCCCCCGTAAGACCTCCGGCCGGCTCCGCTCTCGGCAAAATGAATAAAGAAAAGGCCTCCACAATGAAAATTCAAACGGTGCGCCCTTTCACGGCATCGCGAAATCTCGTCTGCGAGGACGCGGAAAGCCCCCTTGCACCCCTCCGCCGCCCCCGGCGAGGCACCCGCCGACCATCCGAGAAGGGCAGACTCTTTTCCCCTTTTGCGCGACCGTTTTGTCTTCCGATCGGTCGTCGATCGGTCGGACGCGATCGTTGAGATAGACCTGGAATCGAGTCGACGAATTCCCTGGACGAACCCATCCCCGTTCGGGAGCGATTCGTTCCGTCTCCTTTTCTTTTCGGAGCGCGATCGCGCCGAAAATGTCACGGAACCCCGGAGGGAAGTCCGAACCACGTTTCTCGGGTTTCTAGCGTATCAAACCCGACGAGCAAACAAGCCAGAAGATCTGGATCGCGCGCGGGGAGGTCTGCCAGGATTTAATTACGGCGAACGTTACTCGAGATTCGGTACGTATTTCTGGAAACCGTACGTCCGCGTGATTTAAACAGCTGCCCCGAAACGCGACCCGATGATTGCGACACGCTCTTACAAAACGATCTTGGAATTATCGGGCGGAGGTCCCCCTGGCCCGACGCTTTTAGATCCCGGGGACGGCCGCGCGCGTTCCGGCCCGATCGAAAGTTAATCGGCATCTTCCTTTTCCCCAGCCTCCGTCCGCCTCCCGTCGTCTCCTAATCTCGAGCAATATCCAGGCGCAGCGTCGAGGAGGGCCAAACTCGACGGCTGCCTTAAGGCGTCCTTCCAAGAAAACGTTTCGACGCGCCCCCGAGATAGCTTCCTCGAGATAATTGAACGCCGAGATCAGCTGGTCGAAATAAATCATAAATCAGAAAGGAGCTTTGTTCCCGAGAGCGCGCGGCATCCGGACCGCGCTGGGAGTTTCGTCGTCCGAGCGATCCAGAGATCGCGCTCAAAAGGTATGCCGACGAGGACGTCGTTACGAGACGTCGAGGCCGCGTCTTAACAAATTCGGAAACGACGTTGCGTCGGGAGAGGAAGGTAGGGAGCCGTTGAACCGGGAGGGGCCCTCGACGGGAATTAGGCGTTGGACGAGCTCGTTAACGCGAACGTGCATCCAGGGAGGGAAAGAAAGACCGAGGCGGCAAACCCAATTATTACGCCAAACGGGAAGAATCCGCCTCCGTCGGTTGGCCGTGGCTCCCGGGGGAGACGGGACGCAAATTGAAAACTCGTCCCACCCAGAGCCCCGGGGACCGCCGCCGTAAATGCTTAGAACTCGCCGACGTACCTCGTTACTAATGTAGACCGCGAGGAAGTCATCCGACGAGGCCGCACCGGAGGAAACATCCCCGAACGTCCAACGAGCCCTCGGGTCTCGAGACGGATTCCGGAGGGAGCGGGTCCTTCCCCCGGTCCGGCGTGAGTGTCGGTGCGTCCTCGACCGCCCTCGTTCACCGGTGGTTCCCAACGACGGTTAACCTAATTTCCCTCGCGAGGATACCGCCGTTGCTAATCGAAATTCGGTAACCCCATCGATCTCTCGCCACCGCGTGCCAATGGGAATTCCGCCCGGAGCCGACGCCTCCGCCCCGCTTAATCCTCTTCTTGGATGGAGTTCCGACATAACCCATACGGCGGCTCCGGCGAATACCGGAGTCGGAGCGGCGAACGCGAGAGGTGGCCGTTTCTTGCTTTGGGAATTTGCGAGTCGAGCGGTTCGCACCCCGCGCCGGTCACCGTTCCCAGGGGAGTTGCGGGCAATACCGGTCGCGGGCCCGATGTTGGCGTTTTGCTCCGGAATAATTGTCAAAGCACCCCGCGAGGCGCGCGTTTTCCCGGCAAAGGATGCACCCTCGCCCGACGCCTGGGAGGGGCGGCTCACCTAGGAGATTTAATAACTGTAATGAATGAGACCTAGCGGCCCGGAGATAAAGGGATGGCCGTCGACCAACTTCGATGCTTTTCAGTCGGGCCGAGCGGAGCTCGCTAATTTCGAAATACTCGTCTCGCGCGAACGCGTGCAACCCTCTGGCGTTCTTTGACGCAAAGGGGCGGCCGCGGGGGCAGCGGAAAGGCGCACGCTTATTGCACCTACCGGGGAAGTGGGTCAAATCGAGCCACCTGGCCGAACTTCGCCCCATGGGCGGTCACTTTTCCAGTGCACCTCTCCCCCCCGCGGAATCGGCCGCGGTCCCGGCCGAGCGCGTCAATTTCTGATAAAGCACTTTCGCTTTGCGATTACGGAACGATGCTCCCCCGACCGATCGCGTCGAATTTCCTCTCGAGCGTTGACCGTCGGAGGAGACGAAAGTGCGACCTCGAATCGAATGGAAAAGCGACGCCATTCGTAACGTAATGCCAAGAGATGAAAGCTCGATGAGCGCGAAAGCCCGAATGGCCGTTCCTCGAACGCGCCGGAGATATAAAATGTTCTCGCTTCGAAAGGAGACGTGCTACCCTGCGGATATTAAAATATTTTACGATCTCGCAAAGCATCCTACCCCGCCTCCAGGAAGGGACAATTTCCTTTATGACAAGAGTTATTTATTGAACGTAAATTTCCCTATGACGGATTCGTCGATCGTCCGAAAGTCCCTGGCGGAGTCGAGGCTCCGCGTCGCCTTTCCTCCTAAACGAGCGGACCGATGACCGAAATTCTCGTTACTTGGGTCGTAACGTAATTGAATCTTACGGCCGGAAGTGGTCCTTATCGATGCGGTCGACCGATCGGCGGGCCAGCGCTACGGACACGACGGCGTCCCGGCAGAGCAGCACGGATAATAAGTAGCTCCTTCGGGAGAGTACCGGAGACAGTATCTCACGCAGGACGGCCTCGGGGGTTGAGGGCGCGCTCGAGCTATGCAAATCGTCGGTGGTGGAGGTGGGGAGACCGGCCGTTCTCTACAAATCTGACCAAATTGATCCAACTGTCGTTACATGGACCGATCGTTTCTTTGTACGCGGTCAATTTTCGGGAATTTCTCGAACCGAGTTCACGAATACGTGCACTTGGCCTACTGATCGGATAGGACGCAGGTTAATTAAGTATCGTAGACTCGCACCAGGGGTAAGCATGGCGGGCATCGGCGCGTCGCTGGTGGAATCGGCGGTTGCGGCGACGGACAACCGTCCGATGGGCAAACGAATGGAGGCGGTTTGCAATGGCAACACGCCGGCGGCAAACCGGCCGAACGTTTAATCGTTGGCTTTTCGGAACCACCCTCCATGCCTTTCATTTGACAAAGTCTGATGCGAAATTGCTGAATCACGCGCCAACCGTCGAAACTCGATTACTTTACTCCGACACCCGTTTCTCCAAAGAACCGAGTTTTACTCTCCAGACTTTAAATTTGGAAATGTGACGTACGGGAAACGTTTGATATCTTTTTAGGTTACTTATCACTGGCAGCGTATTGACGACTGGCGTTGGTAAAACACTTGACATCGGACAAAAGATTTTGTTTGTGACTTTTACAAAGCCTTCATCGACGAGCAAACGAGAGTAGCCACTGCTCAGGGGGGCACAGCTTTGGAACTTTCTGCGACGCGAGCGCCGCTCCTGCCGTTCGTGTGTATGTATGTATACGGTACCCAATGCGTCGTTTCGACGATTTCGACGGTTATGACCCCGGGACGGAGGACCTAGCGCCACCTCTGATTCGAGTCATTCCGTTGAGGAGGAAGCCGTCATCGGGCATTGTCGGATATGGATGAGTTGGGAGATTGCTCACGGGGCAGGGTCGCACAAACGCGTCCTGTGCTGCCCCCCGATGGAGGATGCGCACGGCTAATGCACTTGCCACCTGTTACCATGCAGTGGGGATGCAACTCATATCTGGTGGGGGCTCCAACTCATCCAGAGATGAGTTGGGAGATTGCTCATGGCAGCTCATGGACAGGGTCGCGCGATCGCATCGTGTGCTGCCCTCTGGTTTTGTACGTTAGCTTTCACCGATCTTTGCCCCCAAGGGCGTCGCAACGAATTTCTGGTAGGGGCTCGCGCACTCGCGATGGCTGTGCCATCTACCAGTTGCCGTCGGCGGCTCACGTATTCGCAATAATAATACCATGCGGCAGTTGACGGTGGTGGCTTACCATTATGGCAATCTCCCAACTCATCTCTGTCTCTGATTGCGATAAGCAAAGAGCTTATGCTCTATGGTTCCCTGTAAAGTGAAAAATGTGCCATCTTGTGGCGCTCTTTGCTAATTGCGACGCAATAATTGGAAGGAATTTCAATACTATCGGCCGATAAAGCAGACTCCCCGTGAAACGTGTGTTCGCGCATTAAGGTGCAATTCGGTGCAATTTGGAACGAGTGGTTTTGATGAAGGACAGCCAAAAAAGCAAGGAAGGGAATTATGCCGGTGCAACTATGGTGATATAAGGCGTCGGATGGAAGATGGCGAAGATTGTCAAGGTTTCTGAATCGGTTGCGACGGTCCTCCTGTGCGAGTACTGCGCTAACCTCACTTTCAAGCACATACAAGATTTCGTCAGGTGAGTCTCTCCATTTGTTCATTTGTTCTCTTTCTTTTTGGTTTCTCCACGATGTTTCTCCGTGTTTCTTTATTTCTCTTCTTCACCTCAGAAATACGTATTTCTACAAACTTCGGTTTCTAAGCTATATGTCCTTTAAGACTTCTCTCGAGCCCCTTTGGCCTTGTGGAAAGCTGATGGGTCTATACTATTTTCCTTGAAAGGTCATTAAGATTATCTCTGGTTCTCTGGTGTACTAACAGGTTTTCTATTGTCGCAGGCACCTGAGGGAACAACATTGCTCCCGAGAAGGAGGATCGTTCGTGTGTCGCTACGGCTACAATGACGTATGCTCTAGTCTCCCGGTGGAAGGTGTCTCCGATAAGGATTATGTAGCCCATGCAAGCAAGCACGCAGTGATGCAGCAGCAAAGAAAGAGTAACGGACAGATTTCTGAGCTACCTTCGTCATGGACAATATATTCTGCAGCGCAGAATCTGCCAGCGGTACTTAATGATCCTACGAAAGGAAAACAAAGCAATTTCTTTACAAAAACATGGGGTGATTCGTTTGTCGAAAAAACGGATATTCCTAAGAGTCCATACCTTCCAGAAATTACGGCTCAGCATTTTGAATCTTATATGAAAAAGATTGCTCGGGTGTGTATACCGTTGGATCGATGGCAACGTTAATATACACTCTTATTGAAAAGTTGTGTATTTGTCTTCCAGAGATATCGCAAGCATGCCCGGATGAGTTCAACTTCCACCCGACCAGTGTCTCCAAACGAATTCCTACAGAACTTTCCAAATCTTAAAAAAGTGAAGCTTTTGGGTAAGAAGTTTCCCCATAATTAAGCCGCTATATGGTGTTAAGTCCTGTTGAATGAATACACTAACGGCATATCTCTTTTCAATAGAACGCTCTCAGTTTGATCTTTCCAGTATACCAAAAATATTTCTAAGCCAAAATTTGGATCTTTCACGCCGAGATAATTTCGAAGCGGTATTTCCATTCACGAAAGAAGGGTTGCTGGACAAAGATGGCAATGTCGTTGTTCATGTTAAACTCATGCAGGAGACGGTAAGAGCATTATTAGTCTTTACTGGCAAGGTTTTAGGGCAGCAAAGTTTAAACCATTAACAGAGTTGTAAAACCGGTATATTCTCTGCAACAGTTAAGCCACTATCTGGATATTGTTGAAGTCAGGATTGCGGAACAAGTTGCTTCGAAATCTCAAGCGTTTTTTCATGCTATGACATCGCATGACGCACTCATGGAGCAGCTTACTCAAACAATAACGGTGTTAAAAGCGTTAAGGGAAAATATACATCAGATTGACAAAAATCTCGTCACCGATTCGTTAGAAGTTTTAAGGTACCAAGATCAAGAATAACGATTATACCGATGTATTACAAAATAGAGCAGTAGAACATGGCGCCTTTGGTCCATTATACGTACTCATTCTGAATAAATTATATTTTGTTCCACAGACTGGAACGAGCGAGATGCAATCGAACATTGGTTCAAGAGAAACTTAAATTAATGGCTACGGTTCACCAGAGTCAGCCTATGATACAATTGTTGCTATCTACTCCAGATTATGTAGCTGCTCTTGATCTGATCTCGACTACTCAAGAGATACTTTATCAAGAGTTAAATGGCATTCACAGTTTCAGGTAAGTTGATTGCAATAATCAAATATTCCTAAATTATTACGTTTATTGTTATTTCATGCAGACATTTAAGTTCACAATTGAGGGAAATGGAACGACTCGTTGACAAGATGTTGTCGACCGAATTCGAGCGATACGCTACAGCCGATCTTAATAGACCTTTGGGAGGAGAAAGCCTTGTTTTAGATGGCGTAAGTTTAAGTCAATTATTCAAAGATCAAATTATATCTTGTAGACTTCATATGTGTATACTAACGAAGGTAATCTTGCGTCTCAATTGAACAGGACAAGTTGGTTTCAATAATTTCCGGTCTGCTTCGCCAAAAGCATTTCCAATTTGTGGATGCCTACAAAGAAGAGGCTATTACCACAGTGAGAGCGGTGACCAAGGAACGAACTATAGAAGCTTTGGCGGCAAGTGATTGTTGCAGTGATCAGCAGGCTGCTGCGTTGGAGGTCGGAGGCCTTTCCCTTGCCGAGAGGCTGACTCTTTTGCACAAAACGATTCAGTCCCTTACTTCTCTTTTACATCGAGTCAAGGTAAGATTTTACCTGCACGTTAAAATAAAGCAGGGTATTTTTTACAATAGCCGTCTGCAATTAAATGCACGTTTCTCAGGCTGTTCACGATGTTATGCGAGATACTGCCGATTTGTCTGCCGGTCGTAGTCCCTATGGTGCACTCGATACATCGTTGACGGACTGTTTACTGTCTTCTGAAGAGCATTTTCGGATTTCTAATAAACTTGGTGATATGGTTACATCGGTCTGTGATTATTGTCACGAGCGTCTAGGATACCTTCTATCGGCGGGTACCAATGAAAAGGAGAAACTTCTTCCAACGGAAAAGGAAAAAGCCGTGAACGAGACTATGCCCATCAAAAGTACCGATAAGGACAGTTCAACCTGGAACGATAAGACTTCTTGGTTGGGTGACAGGGCTACTACTGCTCAAGTCTGTCAGTTAGCCTCTATGGTCGAAGGGTTTACCGAGACTTGTGAAAAGCTTTGCGGAAAGCAGTGCACGGCGTTGCGGTCAGCATTCAAGGCACAAGCTAGCAAATTCGTGCAACGTTTTCATTCGGAACGTAAGACAAAACTGAGTCTTCTTCTCGAGGCCGAAAGGTGGAAACAAGCCGATGTACCGTACGAGTTTCAGTCCTTAATAACGTATGTGCACGAAAATCAAGCTTTTCCCGTTAGTCTAGATAAATGCGAAGGCTCGCAGAGAAACAAGGTACCGGTTAACTTTGTATCGGTAGGCGAAGAACAGTATGCCGTAGTAGGAAGTGTCTTGATACTCACTCAGATGATCCACGAATATTGCAGGTACATTTTTCAAATTTTGGGATATCGGAACTGTTTCTTTACCTCGCATTTACAGAAAGCGTAGTCGGTAGAAATTTGGAACCTGTTAATGAAATTTCATGTTTCAGAGCGGGAAGTGAGTTAACGGCTCTGTCAGGTGCCTTAGGACGACAATTGGCAGAACTTTTGCGTCATTATAATTCCCGGTGTTGTCAACTTGTTCTTGGCGCGGGCGCTATGCAAGCAGCGGGATTAAAGAGGATCACTAGTACAATTCTGGTACTGACATCGCGTAGTTTGAAGTTGGTTCTTTGGCTTATGCCCTATGTTAGGGCGCATTTTCAAGGTAAACCGATGTCGTCGTAGATTGTGTAATTTAGTGTCCGACACTCATATTCTATCTTGAAATAGAGCTCTCCAATAAAAGTGCTGGCCGCGGTGTTATTGGTGTCTGTGGTCCAAGTGGCGGAGTCGCTCTTTTAGATAACGTGGAAAGAGACATTCGTGCCCATATCAAGGAAATAGAGGATAAGATCTTGACCGTTGTCGGCAATCTTCTGAGCGGACAACTTTCCGAATGGAATGCTAGACCTCCTGTGCCGTCGCAGTATTTCCGCACGATTTCGAGGTAATCACTGATCAACTGTCTTTGTCAAATATATTTATTATCTCCAAATTGTCTCATTATTACAAATCGTTCCTCCATTGTTTTTCCTCTTGCAGGCATCTCTCGAAGCTTCACGAGGCAGTTTCAGGGATCCTACCTCCATCGCAAGTGCAGTCATTGTATCGTACCGTAAATGCTTCGTTTAAGGAAAAATTGAGGGAACAGTTGATGAAGCTGAATATCGTTAACGATGGAGGACCTCAATACTGTATGGTTGCGACCGAACTGACATTTTACCTGGAAGCCCTGAGAAGTTTGAAGATTCTACCGACAGAGGAATTAAAGGATGATTGGATGAATGATATATGGACCAGATAACATGCAGAGCGAGTCGTGTACTGCATTCTGGAAGCCATGAAGCACTACAGAACGAGGTATTTCTTAAATGACATTTTATAATTTACGCCATTCAAATTTATACTGGATTTATTTGTCGTTGCTGTCTTGTTTATTATACAAGTGCAACCTTACCAATAGTCTGGCATACTCTTTGGTTTCATCAGTACCAGCTCACAAACTGCAAAGACATTGGTCTCGGAGGAAACTGGTCTTGAAAGGGAACTTCCGGAAAACAGCTCGGTGGACCGATGGATAGGTCGATCAACCTTCGGCCAGTTAGTGCGTCGAAAAAAACGAGTAAGACATACGCGCGAGAAGTAGTCCGTAATGGTAAAGGGTTTTTAAACTGCAGTATTTGGTAACCGTTCATGCAGAAAATGTAAGCGGCATACCAGGACTAAAGTCCTCTCGGAATTAAGAATGTTTTGCTCCCTCATCTAGGCACTACAATTTTTTATTATTTCTTAGTAATATGTTATGACTTATCATATCTACGCTCGCTCGACATCTTATTACAGACTGATATAAAATTATCACATCCGCATCGAGAAGCGTACAAGCAATTTAAGAGCAGAACATGATACTAATATACAAGTATATGCATGCATACGGTCGTTAAATAGCTCGAAGAAGAAAGAGAGCTTGTCCATTATCTACGGATCTGCGATTGACAGATCGGACATGTACATCCCTCTTTTTGAGCTTTACATCTCACGATATACACTTCTTCGGTGCGGTCATCGGAAATTATGAAAATTTTATCCAGCGATGCATGCATTTACATGTTAGTATCGTGGGACCAAAGACGACCATTCAGGTAGGTAGCAGGTTCAGAGTTATTTCCTACAGGAAAAATCACTTATCGCCGAGTGGCCTAAAGCAAATATTTCTAGTCCTCCCTGTTAAAAAGCGGTTGTAATTGATGAATGCTCTCGTTTGAACGATAGCCAACGCAGAGTGGTGCAAACCGAATGGTGCTAGTCATTTACTAGCCATTAGCTAGCTAAAGAATAACCCTTTAGATTTGAACGAGTTTAACGTAATGTGATTTACTACACCAAGAATGAATTTTATACAAATTCAAGGGAGGGCTATGAATTGGGCTTAATGCGGTTTTCCGTATTTCTCATTCGCACCGAGCTATGGAAAACTGTACAGTCCGAGATAATAGGTGAATTAGATAGTTGAGTTAGATTTCATACGTAGTTGTCGAGAAGACAAACGAATTTCCACGCTGGAGGGGCTTACTGAACGCGACGTGCATATAATTTTAATTGAATCAAACAACAGAATAAAAATAAGCAAATAAAACCACTGCCACCTGGCACCGACCACTATTGACCCTGTAATTCATCCGGGACAAGAATTGGTAGTTACTTTTTAATTTGACGCCTTAAGAGGTAACGATGTGAGTATTGATGCTAAATTATGCCGAGGAAAGGTCGAGCATTTATACATACTAAATGAAACGCGAAGTATATGTATCTTGGTTGCAGATACGCACATGTGTGCACATTAAACATCGTATATGTTAATTGAATAGAAGCGGTTGTAAATAATTATTATATATGAAATGCTAATGCCCCTGTTTAACGATACTTATTGTTATCGAAATTCAGGAATGCAAATTGTAGGGTGGATCAAACATCGATAGGGGTAGATCTTTTCCGGAAATGAACGAAAGTAGAAAGTATCAAGTCCTTTAAGTTTCATCATGTTAATTAATCAGCTTTTATGTTGAATATGAACGCGCTTAGTAAACAATTAATAAACCCGATTTAGTAGGATAGTTGATCACAAGAGACTAAAGCGTGAAAGGAATTTGCTATCTTAAGGAGGATCCAATTGACGTTGCACGTACAGAGAACGCGCAGGTTGCGTCCCGTTTTCAATTAGTTGAGTGGCTACTACGGATAGTTGCACTTGCGCATTCCGAGCCTTTTCCCTTGTCTAGTCCCATCTCTGTACATAACATTTAAAAACCCAATGTCGAGGCATTTGTTTAGGAAGTGGTTGTTCCTATCGTGTCGGAAAATTCTATAGCGCTTGATTTGTAACTTTGTACATACAAAGAAAGTGTGCCCAAAATTGCCCGCCTTGTGGATTACTTTGATAAATGCTTGCGAAGATGTTGAGTCGTAACGCGATTGCTTCTGGGCTAATTTTTCTTAATATTTATTAAAGCAGATTTTAGGATCAAGACGGCTGTCTCATTCTTCGGTAATTCTGCATACGACTCGTTAATTTATAGAGTAATATGAAACGTTTAGGTGTAATATATTATGTATCTTGCAATAACGTAGTCCCATTGTAAGAAGTCATACTAAAAATTACACATTATACGATAGTACATTACAAAACGTGTTCTTTCGTTACGGCATCCAATAAGAAAGTATGAAACATTTTGCTCGACATTGTATTTGACAAATTATCAACTTTATACATATGTATACATACATGCATACCTTACGCAATGAGTACGACCGTCCGCCCGCGCTGACCCTCCGTGAAGATCGAAACCTGCGCATGCTCCGATCGCGGCATGCGTTACTCTAGAAACCACCTGCAAACAAACTTGTAACCCTCTTCAAAGAAACGCTCGTTACTCGGCATTTCATTGCGTATCACCCAAGGTGCCGTTTCGATTAAAAAAAAAATGGACGCTTTCAGTCCGTAAGTATTTTTAGGATGGAACGGTATTCATATACTTAATTATTTCTATAGCCAGTGACTTTCTTTTTGTCCCGACATACGTTGACGTCACCGCCGCCGATTAAATGTCTTGTATCTACATAGATGTTACAAACAATCGGAATAAGTTGAAACATGCCGAAATGAAGGATCCCGTGAGAAAATTCGTCGGTGACGGAACAAAGTGAAAGTGCGCGTTCATAGAAGATGTTTATGCATAATTAATCGATACATTGATATAGAAATCAAAGTGCCAGAGAGATGGCCTTGCGTCAACTCTTGGAGGAAGAGAATAAACGTAAAGCAGATCCTACGGATACCCACGGGCGATCGATTATCGTTCTCGGCAGCAGAGGGGTTGTAAGTGCGGTCGCGTATACGCAATGAAACAAGCATTTTTCAATGATGACCGAGCCGCATGAGACGTATTCACGCCGACGATGTTCCAGGGGAAGTCCACGATGATCTGTCGATTCCTGGAAAAAGACGAGCCTTCGAAGCCGACGATCGCGATGGATTACTCCTTCGGACGAAAAACCGGACGAAGCTTGGTAAGATGGGGTAAACCGATACCGGAAACGTCCTGTAACCTGAAAAAAATCTCGTGGATCGTTGAATCGGGCCACTTGACTTCCGGCGTGAGAAAATCGATTTCTTCTAGATAAAAGACGTGGTTCACGTGTGGGAGATCGGCCACTTGTCGTCGTCCTTGGTCGCAGCTGCCATGACAGGATCCGCTCTCGTGCATTCGCCGCATCACGTGACTCTGTTGGTGATGCTGGACCTCGGAAAACCGGAAATCCTTTGGTCTACCTTAGAGGAATGTCTTATGGTGATCCGTAGTGCCGTGAAGATGAGCTACGATGCCTCGACGATCGACAGCCTAAGAGAAAGGATGCGTGGCGGCGAAAGGGGACTGGAATTCGACAAAACTCTTGACCCTTTGCCGATCCGAACCTGTATTCTGGGCGGAAGGTACGACGTCTTTAAGGTAATTCCAAAGATCGGCGGTAACGCGGTTTACTTATACAGGAGAAGATCGCAAAGTAAATAAAAGGACAAATCGACTTAGGATTACGACGAGGATAAGAAACGGCTGGTAGGACGGACTCTCCGAGGGGTAGCACATTCGTTAGGTGCTGGTCTTCGGTATCACTCCTCCAAGGACACCGTTTTAATCAGAAAGACAAAGGATCTCTTATCTCATTACGGATTTGGATCTCAGCGACCGTACGTAAAGTAGTGGCACCTGGATGCAGCAACCGTAAGGTAGAATCGTAAAGTGTCGTTTCGTTGCAGAAAAGCAGGGTGCACGGATTACGACAAGCCTTTGGCGGTACCGCCGGGAACAGATAGTTTCTCGTCCATCGACCCGACGTTAACCGGCGGAACGGGCTCGGCGATTCTGGATTCGATGAAGCAAACGTACGTGGCTCACATCCCTCAGGATTCAAAGGGCAGCTATGGGGTAAAGCCGGAGGACCCATCAAACGACCCCAATTTTCAGGAACCGACCGTCGACAGACTCAAAAGTCAGAGAGAAGAGGTATTCACCCGAGTCCCGATCTCGCAGCGGTCAGCAACCGCTTACCAATTTCCTTCTTTTTCTCAATCAGGAAATCAGTGTTTTACTTCGGGACATGTTGGAAGGCCGAGTTTCAAAGATCGCTATCCCGGGTCCACTCTAGAGAGGAGCACCACCGTAGAGGAAACACTTCCCTCGGTCGATCCAATTCCTCGAGACGATATAAATGCATCGTTTTTCCTTCGAGCTTTCTTTCTCCACCACCCGATCGTTCGTATAATTTTAAGTCCAAAGAATACTTGGTTTCGTTCCATTGGTTCGTGGCTGCTACCCGACAATAATGACGTCAGTCGTTGTCGACTTGCAAACGATCGCAGATTCCGAGCGAGTCGACATTCTGGCCCAGCGAAAACGTTATCGCCAAGGTTCGACAAGCTTCTATTACACCTCGGTTCGGCGACTACGATTATGCCGGCCGCTAAGAATCGCCGCCTACTCCGGAGTCGAAGAATAACGTCGTACCGCGCGGGCAAACCGATGGGACAAGGGAAGAAGGGGTCGGGACGGTCATCGGTTAGGTAGCGCGCGAGCGAAATATCGTGCCATCTTGCCCTGCTCGGTTACGGCAAGATCCCGCTCCTGGTGGATCGTCCGGCCGAGAGTCGGTCTTTGGCCGGTCTCGAAAAAAGAGGCACCGGAATCAATCGGAATTCGGCCTTCCGAAGACTTCGAACTATCGGAGAGCGCGGCGGGCGTCTCGAATTGCACCGTCCAGGCACGGCCGTACCGTTACCTTCTTCCGCTCTTCCGCCCCTCCCCTGCCTTTCCGCGTTGGCAAATTCGTACGACTCGAGCGCACCCATTCACGCGGCGTCGGCCGGCCTCGCTCGCGCTCCTTCCCCGCCCACCGGCGGGCAACCGCTGATAAGAGCCGTCAGTGAGCGCCGACGCGTGCGTCGAGCAAGTCCGGGCGCATGCGCCCGCTCGCCGGGAGCGCGCGCACCGCGAGCTCGTCCACGGGCCGTCCCGGCGGCCTGTCAGTCAAACGATGCTGCTCGCCGAGTGAGGCGGACGCGCCGCGACCACCCGCGACCACCCGCGAGCAGTCGCGAGCAGTCGCGAGCAGTCGCGAGCAGTCGCGACCAGGAGGCGACCAGGAGGCGACCAGGAGGCGACGGGCCCTCGGAGACGAAGGATCGGCTCGTGGAGGCCGCGGCGCAGCTTCCATCCTCAGGTGAGTCGACGGCGGTCGCGCGGGTCGCTATCGATCGCGAGTCCGGCTCACCTGTCCCCGCGCCGCCGATTGGCTGACCGTTTACCGCCCGCGGCCAATAGGCGGCATCGATTCGGTCGCGGGCACACGGAGACGTCGCCGCCGGGCTTATCGACGGGCCGCGACGAGAATTGCACGTGCCGCGTTCTCGCCCGTATCGTCGGAGGGGCAAGCGAGGCAGAAATTGGCGCGCGTCGGAGATAGGCCGGTCGACGTGGAAGTATGCCGCTTTACGAGATCCTTTAACGGTTCCGGCGGAACGTAAATACGAGCGAGCGAGCGAGCGCACGCCCGCGACCTATTTACCGAATACATGGGCGAGGTTGGAACGCTTCCGGAGTCCTGAAGGGTACGGATTCCTCTGTTTGCACGTTTCGCGGTTTCCGATTAATCCCGGTTGCGAAGCGGGTCTCGATGCAAATGGGGTCGAACCCCGAGACCCGCCGAGCTCTTAATCGCGGCCACTTCCTCGATACGGCGTTTCCCTTCGAGCCAGGTCGAACGTTGCGTCCGGCAGTCGCCGGGTCTCGACCCGTGAGATCGATCGGTACGTATAAATTACTCGACGCGACGACCAGCGGAAACGGGGGCGGAGGTACGTTTTCCGAGATCGAACGGGACACGCGTGGTTGAAGTAAAAACGCCCTTAAAAACGCCCGCACGGCCGGTAGACCGCAAATGGACTCGTTGGCTCGACTGCGGCGAGGCAGGCGTCGAAGCTCTGGTTAGATTAGATTACGTTAGGAAGGTGTCGAGGTTGGTTTCGTAACCGGCGGTAAGAGGGATACGCGAATACTGCCCTAACTTCTACCGACACGACGGGGAAACGCCTTCCATGTAGACCTTCGTCGAGGAGTTATTTCGGGCGCGTTCGTCGAAAAGTAATTTTCGCCGGGGAAGGCGACGTCTCCGTCCCGTTCCTTTCGAAATCGGAGGCCCTCCGCTGCGATCTCGATCGCGGTGCTCGCGGCCGGCTTTCTCGGCGGGTTTCAGGTCGCGTTATCGATTGCGAAGTATTCTCGGTAGGTCACCGTAAATACTTTCCGCGAGGTGAAGGAACGAGGAGGCTCGGCGGTCCTCGGGTCGGGCCGGAACTTTGACTCGCGAGTCGGTCTTTCCTTTCTCGCTGCGGTGACGCTGCCCTTCGTTTCGAAGACGATACTTTACCGTCACGCCGCATCGATCGGGCAATTCCTAGCCTCCGTCCCGATCGATTTTACTTGGCCCAAATTTGGCGCGACGAGTAATCGGATCCCCGCGGACCGACGGTGGGGAAATTCTTTCGGGTGAACGCGTGTCGGATAAAGGTCCCACGAAACGACCCGATTTGTCGCAGTTGCTTGACGTCAAACGACGGCGTGGCGTCGCGGAAATATTTCCGGCGGCGCTTCCCGGTGGTGCGAGCTCCCTCCAAAGAGGGACCGGCTCCTTTTCCCGCAAATTGTCGACGCGGAATATCCGTCGATGGACGCGAAGAGGGGGCGAGCAAGCTTTCGGGAGGTCGCGAAAGATGTACGTTTAAAGCTTCCGACCGAGTGCTCTCGGACGATCCCCTGAGAAGGAAGGGCTCCTTCCGATCGCGAACGTTGATCCTCCTCGCGCGCGAGAAAAGAGATTCGGGATCTTTCCTCGAGGTTGTCTCGAATCGGTTTCTCGGGATGGAAGGACCGCCGCGGAGAAACGGAGCGCGACGCCCGATAATGTACCAGGGCGGACGATTTCCTTATGAGATCGTCGCACGCTTCGATGGAGCCCTTCCTTTGTCCTAACTTTATCCTAGGTCGACCCTCCTTTCACGAGTACGTTTCAACGGTCTATTCGCGACCGAACCTCCGCATGGTGCAGCCCCTTCGGACTCCGCGGAGGATCCAAGGGGAAAGAAAACGAAAAGAGGCGATTCGGACCATCCAGGGCGGGCGCGGTCCGCGGAAGCGCAGGTGAGAGCGAGAGGTGCGGATTCCGCATGCGGTCCGGAGGGAGGCCGATCGATTCGCGTCCGGCGCGCACCTTCGACTCCTCGTTCTCGCCCGAGAACCGCGGACACGAGAAGGGACCGTCGCGATTTCTTTCGAGGAATCGATCTCGGAGTTCCGGGTCGAGGGGGCGAAGGCGCGAGCACTCGGGGCCATTGGATTCCGCGTCCTCCGTCCGAGGCGCGGCGGATCCGGAACGAGGAAAGAGAAAAGAGACTCGCGACCACGCGCCAGTCTTTTTTCTCGATCGGCCACCCCGTCGGATAATCGATCGCCCCTCGGCCGCCAGAGCACGCAGATACCCCGCGAGTTTCCCGCGAGCGAGACGATCCGCGCGCTCGATAGAATCGGCCGCGGCGGTCGCGTCGACATAACTTACTTGGCGCGGAGGACACCGTGATCACGAAGGCGGTTCCTCCTGGGCGAGGTCCTTCCATTGCACCCGGGTCGGGCTGAACCTTGCGAGTACTCCTAACGTGGGTATGTCGAGCGCACAATTTTTGGCAGTCGGGACAAGCGTTCGCGCTGTCCCGGATTATCGGCCGCAACCGAGCTAGGGGGGGAAACGCCGGATCGCTACCGACCGGCACGTGGGGGTCTTTCGAGCACGGCGGCGAAAAGATATCCGACGAGAAAACGGAGCGGATCTCGATTTGGATCTCGAAGTCACCGTTCCTTTTGTGAGATTCGTTGCGCCCGACGCCGTGACACGGTCCGCGAACGATTATTCCCGTGATATTCCAAGTTCATACACTAAACTAGTCAACCGGAGCTCGCGTAAAATTTAGGTCGATCGTTTAAACGATTCTTGACAGTTTCTGCCACTTAGGGGTCGAGTGCGAGGAATCGAGGAAACAGCGGAATGCGATGCGAGGTGCATTAAGGGCGCGTTATTGCGCGCAGGGCTGCATTGCGGAGGTCGCAGACAATACCCTGCACCTGCAACGAAGCCATAACTCGAGGGGCGGCAACGTCCCTATGCACGGGCGGGGCGCGGGGATGGAGTGTCAAGCGTGGTGCACGCTATTTCGATAGTCATTTCCCTTGCTGTGTGTGCATGCACTCAAATGCATTCGGTTCCGACGCGCCAAACATTGTGAAATTCGTTGCCTATCGGTATGAAGAAATGGCGAGTTGCTCCCGTCGAGTAGGCAACTCTTTCGGAACACGTGTGCTGCGGGTTGTAGGTACACTTTGCGTGGAAGGCGTACGTCCCTGCTTTCGTAGAATATGAAATTGGTAGGAAGTGTGATGACATTTGTACTTTGAGACCTTCGATATATCATATGGGATTCCGTCCAGGAAGAGTCCGAGGGTTCTGCCCTTAGAGAGTTATTTTTTCCGCAATATCGATTCGCGTTAATAACAACATCACCGATGCTGTCGCTACCACGCCTATAAGGTTGTGGTAGAGTGTATCGATGTAATAACAAAACTCCGTTCGATTCGCCTCCACTGGTTAATTTTGTGCTCTCAAGGTTCCTCTAATAACTCGGTTACGCGAGTAATTAAATCGATTTCTCGATCTAGGGGATTCTACCCGATCGCGATGTAATTACAAAGCTCGTTAGGTCCGCGATTGCGAAATGGGCGGCGAGTAATGGATGCGAAGCCGATTACGCAGGAATTGGGTCGGAAAATAGCTAGGACGGTTACGAGCATTTTTTATTTTGACCGTTTAGTGTCGTCTATTCGCTACGTTTTCTTTTTCCTTTCCTGTCGTTTCTACTTGGAAACGCTCCGGCATAATTTCCGGAAGAAGTGGAAGGGTGAAAAATGGCCTTGCCTTCTGGGCGAATGTTACGGAAAATCTCGACGATCGATATCGATACGAGGCACGACGAAGGGTTGCTCCCGTCAACTCCTATTTTTACCGAGCTTGTAAATAAAGTATACTTAACGTCTCACCGCGATTGCTAGCTTTTATTGGATAGTCAATATTTTATTTAATACCGGCCCAATTGTCAGCAATGGTTGGTAGTCTTCCTACCCGACTTCTAGCCGCCTCCTTAAAATAGACCGTCCATTGTGTCGGTGGGCCGGAGTGCACCTGGGTTGGACGCGCCCTTGGCATAATCGCGTTGTACGTGTCCAAACAATGTACTCATTGTTTCGAAAAGTTCTGCTCTTCGACGTTTTACCACTCTCGGCGTGCTCGGGTGAACAATGGGGAGGGAGACATTTAAAAGAAAGGTAGAACTGTTCTTTAGACGTCGTTCGCGGTGGTTTTGCGATAAGGCGATGTCGTTGCGGAAGGATCTTCTCAGGGTCCCGCCTTGTCGGTGACGACGGATTCGGCCTCCTCGGTTTTCTTCGCTATGCAAGATCTGACGTCTTCGACGACCGTCGAGCTCTCCTCCGCGAAGGTGGCGATCGCGTTGGCCGACGAACACATCGCCAGACTCGGCAGTACCCCCTGGATCAGCAACGTGAGCTCCGTCGCGTCCTTCAGAGCACTCGGTATCATTTTAGTCGACACCGCGGTCGCTTTCTCCAGAGCCTGCAACGAGGGGCCGAAATTAGCTGAGATTCGTACGAAAAGATCCACGCACGTAAAGGTCGACAAAGAGAAACCAAGGGACAGTTACCGCTTTGATACAAGCGGCGGCACGGATCGTGCCATCGATTCCGCTGATATCGCTGGCACATTCCCCTGCCGTGGCCTTGATCGACAGAAGGCGTTCCGTTAAATCCTGAGAGATAAAGATGATGCCCTCGGCGTAGCCGATGGCTTCCTCGACCTTGGCGACGACGCAGGAACTGGCGTTGTAGACGATCGCCAACGCCGCTTTATGTACGGACGCGCCCATCGCGGTACATTCGGTAACGTTTACCCCGTTCGCTTCTTCTTCCAACCGCTTGATTTCCTCGTCCGTCTGCAAACGTTCTCAGGGGAGTACTAGATACCTGTTATCGTGCATAGATTCGAACTTACGTGCATCACCGAATCGCGCAGACTGGCATAAAGCGACTCGGCCACCTTTTCGCCCTCGTCTCGAATTTGTCCCACGAGCTCGTAGGCCGCATTTTCTGCATCCTCGAACTTGGTTTTCGATTCGTTTAAAGCCGCGTCCACCACGGATTCGACGTTCTTCTTCAACTTATCCAACGTTTCTGTCACCTTATCGGAGAAGAAAGCCTGCCCACTCTGCAATTATACGCGCAAAGAGATCGGTATGGCGAGAAAAATCCGCGATCGACCCTTCTTCCCGTGGCGATCCTTTGATCGATACTTCGTACTCACCGTGACGACGAGGCAGAGCCCGAATAATGTCGCAACAGTCTTCATGGTTCGTCGTCAACCGGTGTGAAGCGCTCTCGAGTAACTTGTCGGTAACTTTGGCCGCTCAAAATCGACCCGATCTTGCTTATATAGATCCCCGGTTATGCAAATTATAAGGCCAACGGGGAGAGCACCAAATGTATGGCCACTTGTGTATACTGTCTTCTTGGATCGGCTCGATCGAAACTTTTCGGTGGGCCCGTATCGACGTTCCGGTAGAAAGGCGGCAATTTTTGCTACGCAATTGTCGACACTTGCCTCGGGGATTCGCGAACGTCCGAGAACTCTTACGGAACGAAACCGCAAACGGATAATGCCGTACGTCCTGCGTAAAAATCCGGTGGATCGCGAATTCGATGCCATCGCGCGTTGCGCGATAGAAGGGGCACCTCGTCATTCGATTAAAACGCTGACTAGGCGGCGTAATCGTAGTCCGGTTTTCTGCCTCGCGAGAGGCCTTGAGTTATATCTTCTTCGAGAACACCCGCGGAATACATCTAATTAACGAGGGACTGGATGTCGGATGGATTCATCGCGTCTAAAGAGATTCCGAAAATTGATGTCAAATTCTGAATTTCGGGCGAAGCGAAATCGATGATTCGCCTCACCTTTTGTCAATGGATGTTAACACCGCGTTGATAGCTCTCGAGTACATCACGACCTCGCAGCGAAGTTATTTTTTCAGTTGCGTGCTCGTTTAACATACCGCGGTTGATGAAGCGTCGGACGACCTTAAACTAAATGTCGGAGAAATCCGCCGATCCGCCCAAACCGCGCAACGTTTAGTGCTCGTGGTGGTGAATCCATTTCTTTTTCCAAAATCGTTTTTCCATCAGGCCCTGAATCGCCATTCACCTTTGACCTTCCTTCGGGAATGCCGGTGTTCCCGCCAGCGGTTCTTCCCCTGATGATCACCTACCCCATTTCCCCACCGAACGGTCCACGGACCCTCGAGATCTAGCGACCAAAGGGAGCGACGATTGCTCGCTTTCCACCCCTGCGTTAAATTCGTCATTGAAGTCGGCGTCTCGAGCCGTCGCGCCGGCCTAAATTTCTGTCGAGAGCGCTTCCGGCCTCGGGCGGCGACCCTCCGCCGCGAAAACGAAGAGTGCAGGTGCCGTGGGGTCAATCGCGGGGGCGCCAAGCGGCCGCGATCCGATTCCCCACGACCGACGGGCAACCGCGACAAGTGGCTAAATGCTTAATTGAATCGGGCCGAGCGAGCCCGTCGGGCGGTGCGACAAGGTGAGGAGGAGGAATCGTCCGAAGGGATCTCCGAGCCCTCGGCCCTGCGAGGGGTTCCCATGAAGCCCGTCGCGAGTACGGGGGTCTCGTGGGAACCGTCGCGCTCGATATACTAGCCCCGTGCGCATTTTTCTGCCCCCCCCCCCCCTAAGATACCTACCCAGTTGTTTGGAACCGCTTTTTAACGGATCGTTGCCGATCTTCCTCGCGTCCCCGCCAACGAATAAATTAGTGGCCTCTCGAGGTGTCGCGTCGATCGAGACAAAGGGCAATTTTCTTGGAGACGACAGGACGAATGGCGCGAATCCCCGATTTTTACCCGCAATCGAGCCAGGTGCGATCCCGGAATCGATTCCGCATCTTTGGCGAGAGCGCTCCTTTCTCGTTCCGTCGTCTCGCGTGAGTTTATTTACCCGATTCCGTATCCTCCGAGTGAAAACGTGAAATCCCTAGACCGAAAAGAACTCGCGTCGAGATCCCGTGCGAGACCGGTCGAGTGGTCTCACGCGAAGCGTCTCACATTTTTCCGCAGTGAAAGTTACGGAGTGATGGAAGGTGTTTACTTTTAGCATTTTCATTAGATTCGAGTTATGGAATCGAGCCCCTAATCGCGATGACGCGACCGATTTCTTAGCGCCTTGGTATAAGTCGATTAAATCCATAAATCGTTGGGAAAAGTATCGACGGTGGGTACGCTGCTGTCTCTCTGGTTAATTTCGAGGCGCACATGTTGGAAGAAACCTGGCGCCTCCGTTGGACATGGGAACGGGCGGACATGTGGTTACGCGGCCACGGTCGTACCTGTACCTACGAGAGACCATATGCCGCGCACCGCCCGCCAAATTCATTTCGAATTACCGACACTTTGTAAATTGAAGAATTCGGCGAATCGAACGTTGCAGGCCCCATTGGAAAGACGCTTCGTCAGCGAGTCAAATGGTAAGCGTTCTCACCGACGTTACCGACCGGGTCCGCCCGCGAGGAAACTCGTACCTTCGTATTATCCTATGCGAGGAACGTGGGAAGGACCCAAGGGAAGTACCGAGGTTACGGATAGTCAAAGGAAACGCCGTAATTCCTTGCCGTTAAAAAAACCATTTCCCTCCCGCTGGTGCGTCGCTCAGAAGAGTCGGAGGAAAAAGGGCTTTCCCGGTCCCCCGGCCGGGACGCAGCCTCTTCTCTCCCCGCGAGTTCGCGGCGTTCGGGCGTCGGGCCCCGCTGCGTCTCGGCAGATGTCTACGGCTATTTGCCGGCGCAGCTGTCCGCCCCTCTCTGCCTCTGCGGCTTCGGCGGCTTCGGCGGCTTCGGCGGCTTCAGCGGCTTCAGCGGCGTCTCTCGGCCCGACCGGGCCCCGAAGCCTCGGAGCGCGCGATGCCACCGAGGGGGCGTCTTTAACTACCCATTTTTTCTCGGCAGGGAGCTGGGAGGTGTCGCTTACGCTTCCGAAACCGACGGAGAAGCGAGCGGCGAAAACACGTGTCCGTGTCCGTGCACGGAAAAAAACGGACATTTTCGTGTCACGACCGTGAATTTTATTTTATGCGCGCGAATTCGTGCTCTCGCCGCTTCTCCGGAAATTTTGTCGGTTGCGCGTTTACGGTTAAAAGTCGAATTCATCGTTGTAGCAAAACGATGCCGGATTCGGTGCGAGGGGCACGCGCGGAGCCAGAGACGGGCCTGGGGCGAGAGCAGGGGAGGGAGAAGGACGGAGCGACTCGTTGGGACGGTAATCCGGCATTCGCGTGTCGGGGGGGTTGTCGATCGGTCCGCGTCCTTTCCGGCGGTCACGCCGGTCACGCCGGTCAGGCCGGTCCTCTAAATAAACGCGAAAGCGTCAGAGGGAAAGTTTCGCGTCGAAATTTCTCATAGCCGGGAGTCGAGGTCGTCGCGGCGCCCCGGGGCGTTTTAACGGAACTCCGCCGACTCGTTACGGGACGTCGTCATCGCCGCGAAGAATTCGCTCTACGTGCCCCTGCCTTTCGTGTTTCTTCCTCGATCCTTGACCGGATCGCGTGTATCGGTGAAGCTCGAATCGGCCCGAGAGTCGCCATAGGCGCTCCGGCGTTCCCTCGAAACGGATCGTCCGTTGGAAGTTTTCAAACGTCCAGCGGTGGGGAGTCGGAGACTCGGCCGCCAGGTGGCGCGTCGATCGCGAAACCCCGAGGCCCCGGGGTCCGGTGCTCCGGCGTGAGGGGGAGAGGGACGCGGACGGCCCGGGCGAGTGCGGTGGGGTCGGCGGCGCCAATGGAAGAGGAACGTGGGAACGGAGGTCCGGCCCGACCGGCTCGTCTCCGCGACGACGGACCGCCATAGAGGAAACTCGGTCTCGGCAAGGACGAGGAGGAGGTGGCGAGACAAAGGCGACGGGAATCGCTCGCTAGAGAAGAGAAGCTCCGGACGACGGCGGGCCCCGTCGCGACGCCCTTCCAATTCCGGAGGGAGTCGTCGCTCGCGGCGCGGGGCCAGGTAGAGAGGGGAGGACCGGTCGTCCGGGTATAGCTCGGTGACGTCACTCGGCGCGCGAGTCGCGTGACCAGTCGGCGCGCTCGCCCCGACGCGCCCTGACGCGTCCCGACCGCTCCGCCACGGCCAGCCGAGTCGACCGGAGGATGAACGACCCGGGGACGGCGGTCCCCGACCGCGAGGGCCGCGGGACGGCGTCTCGGCCCCCGCTGTCGTCGTGATCGCGGCGGGAAGCTGCGAGTGCTAGTGCTAGTGCGAGTGCGAGCGCGAGGGACATCCGTCGCGCCTGCGGACAGCGGCGCCGTGGACGCCGACGATGGGGAACCACCCGTCCGCCCACCAGCCGCTCGAGAGGGCCACCAGCCACGGGCGGAATGGACCGCGACTCTCGGTATGTCCTCGGTTCCGGGCGCGCCAGGGCGCCCGTCCAAGATGGCGGCGAGGGGGAACCTCGGGCAGGTGCGGCGTGGGCGTGGGCTCCGCGGTCGGTGTCGCAACGGAAGATCGGAATGCCGGCTGCACCGCGGACCGTTGGCAAAACTGGTCCCGCGAAGGTCGTAGAAAGCGTCGAGAGACAACGGGACGGCGGACGTTTTTGCCTCTCGACGCCCGGAGTCGCGGCTCGTCGGCGAGGGTCGCGTCTCGACGAGCGGGGGGTCCGGAGATCTCGCGAACCTCGCGGCTCCGGATCGGCCGGGCTCAACGAAGCAGGGACGACGATAGGCGCGAGGTTCGGCCGTCGAAGAGTATCGAGAGCTCCGGAGCGTCCGACGTCGCGTTTATCCAGAGGATGGATTCGTGACGACCGTCCAGGGAATAAGGCGTGACCGATACGTCATCTCGTCGGGCGTTGCGACGCTGCCTTCTCGACCGCGAAATCGACGGGGCGCCCGTAAAGAGTCGCTTGCTCGCGAATCGAACGGAACGTGGTTCCCGGAAGAGCTTCGCGCCACAACCGAGCGGGATCTCGAGTCTCGTCGGAGTATGGGACAAGGGCGAGGTCAACGCGGGCCAACGCGAGTCCTCCGGGTTAAACGAGAACGCGCAAATCCCGTCGATTATGGAAGAGGGGCCGCGCCCGCTGCTCGGCGAGACCGGAGTTTCCCCCTTCCGACAGTACTGTATGTATGTAGTACCGCTCGCTGCTCTTGGAGGCTCGAGTCGACGGATTTTCAGGGTTTCCCTTCCGGTTTACCGGGCGAGGCGTAAAATACCCCCGTTACCAAGCCAGGCGGTTAAATCCGGACGGAAATCCGACCACCGTTGGAGGGTTTCCGGCTACGGTCAACGAGGGACGTCCGAGGCGCGTTTCGGGATGAATCGACCGACGGTCGATCTCCTTAAAGTACGCCCTTTAAGCGATTCCCCTTGGTTTGGTCCACTTTTCGGAGCGCGGTTGCCCGGAAAGTGCCAACTTTCCTTCGACTCCAGCCGGGGAGGGGAAACGTGACGCGAGACGCGAGGAAAGACTCGGAGGGGAATGCCTGTTCCGCGGCGGTTCCGCGGCGGTTCCGCGGCGGTTCCGCGGCAGGATCGAGTCTGCGACCGTTCCCCGGTGCGAGTCGGCATTAAGTTACGCTTTTTCCATCGAGGCAAGTTATGTCCCGTAACGCGGGTCACGGTGGACGCCGCGGCTCGACCCGTGCTCGAACGATTCGCGACTAGCCCGGATACGAGATTAGAACCTCGTCAAGGGGATTAAAAATAACCGGCGACGACGGCGTCGTCGAAGGATCGCGAACGCGGCCGCGCGCGTTTTCGGAGTCCTCGGCCGGACCTCTTGGTCGTTAACGGGCAGGGAGCGGGAACGACGAGGAGGAACGCTCGGGTGGGGATCGTCGCGTGGCACGGATTTATGGTCCGAGTTTGGCTCCGAGCGGACGCCGAATGCCGGGGAGTAATCGCTCGAGTGGACGGGCGCGAGTACGCGGGGTATCGAACTCAAGGATAACCGGTAGCGAGCGGCAATGGCCGCTAGTTTGCCGCCGGGAGAGATCCGGTCGATGGCGGGCTCTTTAAAAATGTCGTACGGCCGCTCCCCGACGCCCGGCTGTGACCGGGATGGGCGCCCTCGAGTCCCGACGAGGCAGGAAACGTAAGGTTGCGGTCGGTACTCGTCGTCGGACGTTTAAGCGATTCCGTGGCTTCCGTTTCGGCAAGGGCGAGGCCCCGAGTGGATACGGCACTGCGGTGAAAGGATCGAGTGCTCGCAGGAGCTCGCAACGAGGTGGCGTTACCGGAATACTTACTACCCATCTCGTCTACCTCGTGCCGCCGCGGGTTGCCGCTTACGCCGGGATTTTCTTTGCCGTCGAGGAGACGAGACGAGCTCGCGGTCTCTCCGACTCCGCGGATCGGGCGACCGAACGGCGACTTCGGAGCTGACGAGTGGTTCACGGCTCTCGGGTTAGCTCCGTTGTCCGTTCTCGAGGCCCCGTCGCTCGGAAGATGAAACGAGACTCGCGGCGAAGGAGGAAACGACCGTCGGCTTCCCTTGCGAACGAGCGATCGATGCTCTCTGTCGTGCGAAGGGGGACAGGTGAGCCGTCTCCCGGATTCTTTCGAGATTGGTCATCGAAGAGACGCCTCCTGGGAATTCGAGCTCCGCGTCGCGCGTTTCCGGCCCGTCTCGGCGGAGACGGTGAATCACTCGGCAGCGTTCGAGTTTCGACGCCGTCGCTTCGGTCGGACGGCCGTTTCCGATCGCTGTCGGCAATCGGCGCGCGGCCGATTCGCTCTTTAATGCCGCATCGGTAAGCGTATTACTTTGCTAAGTAAACACCGTAATCCGATTGCGTCGAGAGCGCTTAGGTGCGCACGTTTTGCCCATTAGCGCAGGGGGAGACGTCCGCGCGTTAATACCGCGTCCCTGGGGAGAGGGGCCCTTTATTTTCGTTTCGAGTATTTTTGCAGATGCGCGATGCGCGAGGGGACGATCGTTAACCCTCTTGGGCGCGTTAACTATTTTTCCTTGCTCGATTAACCGTACCTTGGGACGCGTTCGCGGAACTTTTCTCGCAACGCGACCCCGCTGATTCGCCTCGCTCGGTTTCCCGGATCCCGAGCGGATTTATGCCGGCCGATGGCGAACGATTAAAAGCACCGAGTAACTTTTGCAAAGTGAATTATCCGCTCGACTCCCCGTCTCGTTTGCGGGGACCGTCAACCTGCTGGGAATTTAATTAACGCGATCCAGTCGTTTCGGGAAAACGTCACCAATTTTGCCCGCGCAATGACTTTCGGAAAAAAAAAAACCGTGACGCGGCCATTTGGCGCGGTCGCTATTGTAACTCGTCTTTGAGTCCTTTAACTTTGGACGCTTGTCGGTGAAACGTTCGTTTTCTTTCCCCTCGTTTCTCCCGGTTGACCGTTCTCGTGCCGCGTATCGCGACTAAAGTCCATCCTCGCGAACCGCTTCCAGTCGACCGACTCCGCGGAGCGGGCTTTGGCCTTAACCCGAGGGCCGTTCCGGTTGATTGACCTGGGTTTCAGCTAAGCGTTTCTCCTTCGATCCGGTAAATACTCGGCACGGTCGGTTCCTCTCCTGCCGATCGAGAGGCGGCCTCGCGACGTCTCGGTTTGCCGGTTGCGCCTTTATGGGGTGCGCGCTATTGGGGGGGTAGATCCCATGCTCGGAATTAGGGGAGTCAACGGAGGGGCTGGAATAAAAGATCCTTTGGGAACCGGCCTCAAGATTCGATCACAGGCTTTTTTGGACTGGCCATGGCGGACCGTTACGCGGTGCGGTCGCTTTCCCAAGGCTGCGATTTAGGGGACGCGCCCGGGGGTCCGAGGCGGATATATGACTTTCGTAACACCTTAACGTCGCGACATGTGCTCGTCCTCTCGAGCGTCCGTTTCTACGCGAACCCACGCGCCCGACCTATTAATATTCCGCCGCGGCACCCCTTGCGGGTCTCGAGGGCGGTTTCGGGATTCCGTTCTCATGAGCGGCTCGACGGTTGCTCGTTAGGGGATCCCGCGGTTTCCGTATGGGTGGCTCGATACTTCCGTCTTCGTCGGTTCGATTCCGGAGAAACGTCTGACGCGCGTCCGTGTTCCCTTTCAGAAGCGAGAGAGGTCGCCGGGGAAGAGGATGGACCGACTCCGGCGAAGCTTTCGCGACAGTTTCCGACGGCGGAAAGATCCTCACGTCCCCGAGTCAAGCAAGCCTCATCAATGGCAGGCCGACGAGAGCGCGGTGCGCTCCGCGACCTGCGCCTTCCACGTTAAGGTTTGCCCTTGATCTTTATTTCGCGCCTAAAGCCAACTCGCGCATCTTTTAATCGTGGCTCCGATGCGTCTCGATTGCAGTACCTGGGATGCGTCGAAGTGTTCGAGTCGAGGGGGATGCAAGTCTGCGAGGAAGCGCTAAAGGTACTCAGGGTAAGTGCACGCGTTGTGTCTCGCTTCCGGTATCACCGGTATCACCGGTATCACGGGTATCACCGGTCCGGCTGAAAAAGTCGGAAGGGAGAGGGAGAGAGGGGTACCTGGGTTAAAAGTCGAGAGACGTCGACCTTAATTGCTCGGCCCTATATACTTTAACGGTACAGGGTCTCCTCGTTCGGTTCAGGCGTCCGGTTGATTGTTGAAAAATTGAAACGTAAATGACCTCGGAGCTGCTCCGAATTCAGCCAGGCCGCGAATCGAACGGGAGCGTCACGGAGCCTCCCTGCAAACGTCGAGGATCGTTGTAACGATAACGGACGTTTGCTCAGAATTCGAGACGAAGACCAGTCCGGGCGGTGCTCCACGTATCCGGAGACGGTCTTCGCGTCGTCGAGGACGAAACGAAGGGTCTGATCGTCGACCAGACGATCGAGAAGGTCTCGTTCTGTGCTCCCGACCGGAACCACGAGAAGGGCTTCAGCTACATCTGCAGAGACGGAACCACCAGGCGGTGGATGTGCCACGGGTTTCTGGCCTTGAAGGAGTCGGTGAGTCAGGACCCGATCCGTCCGGCGCGGGCAGAAGCGCCTCCGAGCCTCCCTTTGTCGGTCTCCTCGAGAGCGCGCCTTCGGTTCCAGGGCGAGAGGCTGAGTCACGCGGTCGGTTGCGCGTTCGCCGCTTGTCTCGAGCGGAAGCAACGAAGGGACAAGGAATGCGGAGTGACGATGACCTTCGACTCGAAGACCTCCACCTTCACGCGGAGCGGCAGCTTCCGACAGCCGAGTCTCACCGAACGGCTGCAGGACCCGCGGGAGCGGGCCGTAGGTCGGTCGAAACGGAACTCTCCGTTCGCCCTCGCGGCTCGCGAGAGCCCTATTTAACGAGTCCCCATTGACCGAGCCTTTCCCCGCAGACGTGCCGCCCGTCAAGCAGGTGTTCAATCCCTTCGCCATCGAGAGGCCCCACGCCACCCCCTCGATGCTGGAACGCCAAGGCTCCTTCCGGGGGTTCACGCAACTCAACCAGGCTTCTCCGTTCAAGAGGCAGCTCAGTCTGCGGGTCAATGACCTCCCAAGTAACCTTGAACGTACACGCAGCCACAGCCTCGAACCTACGGATCTCACGCGCCTGCCACCTACCCTCCCGCACGTCGTGCCCTTGAAACCTCCAGGTGAGCGGCGGACAGTCGCCTTCTGCGATAAGAGGCTCTAAAGTCGATGCCTTCCGCGTCCGGTCCGCGGTTTCGGTCCGTCCGGTTGTCGGGCGGCAAATCCGGCAAATCCGACGCCACGGTCTACGGCGTTAACGGAAACGCGTATCGTATCGTGCTCTAGGCGCGCGGGTTCGACTTCGCCAACAAATAACGATCTGCTCTTCATTTTTGCAACAGAATTCGATGGATATGACGAAGGTCGTTACTCGTTATTCCGTTACTTCTCGATATTGCCTGCCCCTTCGGTGTTTTTACGTTGTCAGTCTTTAGGTTTCGCGTCGAAGCGAGCGACCGCTCGTTGACAATGGTAGCACGCGCTTCGATGCAGCTCGAGTATCGGAACGTTTCTTAATCAATTTTCCAACCCGTACGCGTCGCGCCGATAGCGTTACGTTAACGGATCGGCGCGCCGAGCCAGAGTTGACGGAAGTGATTAAAAAATTACATCTATTGGACATTCTAAGTTTCAGCCTCACCCTGCGTGGTAGACACGTACTAGATTGGGATACGTCGGAAAATTACCGTTTTTGAATTATTAACGTTTGATATTGGCACGTTTGAAGTAGTCAAAATTGAGGAAAGAAAATGATCCGTGTGACGTATCTTAAGATAGATTCTCCGTAGCCAGATGTTGAGACGATTGTCCTTCCGTAGCCCTCCATTCGTCAGACGCGTCTATACTTTATGCTTGGATGTCACCTATCTTTACCTCTGTATTTCTAAACCACCGTTGATGCCGACTGCATTGTTAGACGTATCCGAGCATCGTAGCATGACTTATGTAGCTTCCAGCACCGTTATGCAGCACCGCTCGAAGACTCCCCTGTGTCGATGTCCAAGGAAGAGAGTATTACTTCGAATTAAATATGACGTTTCATTAATTTCAGTGAGTCCCATTCCGGAGATATCGCCGAGAGGTCAAGACAGCGTTTCGGCAATGTGTCAACAGCTTTCCAGAGGCCTTTCGCTTCTGTCGAGTAGCGACGATTTCGGACCCCCGGCTCCACCGTCTTCCGTGAGCTCGGTGGCCAAGCAGCTGTTCGCCAGTACCAGTCCTCCACGTAATATAACTTATTTACATTTGCGCGTGGTACCGATGGGATATCCTTGGACCAAATCTTCATTGCGCGTAACCGGGCGTCGACGCTCCCGGTTGGTCTTCGCCTAATTTTTGGCCATATTCCAGATACTGGTGGTAATTCACCGGAAGACACGAAGCAGCAAAACGGCAACAGCGCCAACATCAACAACAACAATAACGGCGACGCGGACAACATCAATCACGTGGGCTCCAGTTGGCAAGAAGCTCCTTCGCCCGTTCCCAGCGCGAATCACAGGCTGACCCCGGTTCTGAACAGAAGCTGTAATTTAAGCCCAGTCCTCACGCCCAGAACGGGCATTACCACGACAGTGGTCATGAGCACTCCGGTACCTGGCGGCGCCGTGGGAGTTTTTGGTACTCCGCCGAATCCCAGTCCAGCTTTTAGCACGGCGTCGACGTCGTCTCTGGGTAGCGTTGTCACGTCGGCGGCCAACAGGTCGCCGATTCCAGTTAACTCGCTAACGCCCATCGCGACGTCCCCCAATGCCAGCGTCACTTCCGCTTCGCCCATTCCAATCACCGTCGTCAGCACCGTCCAGGTGACCTCGCCGGTAAGAAGGCTCGCCCTTTCGGGAGGACCTTGGGAGTACCTTGATAATCGGACTCGTTTACAGGTCCAGCCGGTGTCCACGCCGCCCAGCCTGCCGAAGCCAGAACAGTGGCTGGGGAGCGTTGCCGGATCAGTGCCCCCCGCAGTGCCCTTGACGATGCCGTCGGTGTCGCCCGTACCGCCGGTGTCCCCGGTACCTCCGGTACCTCCGGTACCTCCGATGCCCCCGGTGCCCCGGAGTCCGCGACGAGCGCCGCCGCTGCACACGAGAGCGCACTCGCTGGGCTCCGCTGCTCTGCCCGCTCCCAACGCTCCCCGGGGCCCTTCCGATCCCTTCGACGCCGAATGGGCCGAGATCGCGGCCAGGAACCTGCGCCAGTCTTCGACGACGAACCCCTTCGTCGTGTCTAACGCCACGCAGGCGTTCCAGGTGCAGTTGTAGCAGAAGTTTGCCGAGGACGTCGCCAAATACTACCGGATGAACGCATAGTGACGGTTGCCGGTTCGGTCGCGCTCCGAGCATGCGCGCGATCGGAAGTACTACACCTGAGTGACCCGGGTAAGCGCCGAGCTGATAAGTAGATCCCCTAAGCTAAGATAGGAAGAGGGATGGACGGACGGTTTGCTGCTACGGTAGCTCGTCGATCCGCTCCGGAAACACGCAAGAGTTTTGAGTTCGTGGATCTCTCCGTTTCTGGCCGGTCGTCGACGAACTGCCGTTCGTTCCCTAGACTGGAAACTTCTTGGAGAGTAGTCCTATCGTGCTGGCTAGTCATCCGCAGGTTCCTAGATTCAATTTGACGACCAGGTATTAACGTCAGCAGCGTCGAGACTCGGGGCGGTGTCTTTCAGTCGGCCGACGAATCGCTTCGTTTGCGAGGACTCGGCAATCCAAGTAATGCAATTTCGAACGGACGCGACGAGGCGGCAGCATTGCTTCTAAAAGAATAATATATCGTTGTTCGTTCAGCATACGCACATTTCTCGCCTCGGGGCGAACGATCGCATTCGACCAAACGGCAAAAAGCCGTACAAAGCGATCGTGGCTTCGATTTGTCGAGAGTAGTCCGTAATGTACCTTAGAGATAACATTGCTCGGTATATTCAACGAGTGTTATGTGAGACTTGGCGAATACGATAGGTTTAACTAAATGTTTTCGGGAGTAAGTCAATACCTCATGATGTAGTAGATCAGTTTCCATAGTTTAGGACTGTCCAGGAAGTGGCAGTTTTTGTGCTTTGCACGATATTATAATAATTGTACGCACGAACAAATTATTCCGCACTTGAAGAGGAGTTGGATCAGGGGTGAATTTACTTGGATTGTGTGTTCACGTATTGCACACGGGCCGTCGCGATATTTACTTCCACTCAGTAACGGGGTTTAATATATTAGGTTAACCGACGAATTAATGGGACGCGAATCTTTTCTTCCACTTTCGTGGACGTCTCCGCGTCGCTGCTGCGTCTTGACGTACATTGCCGTAACTGCATATTTTTCTTAGAGACGAAAGAAAATTACAAAGGGAAAGATCACAAAAATTATAAGAGTTCTAACTGGGCCTGTTGGTTAAAGTCGTATTTAATTTTTCAACGCGTTTCAATCAGGTTTCAATACGGGACTACGTTGTGACATCAACAATTGGTTCTGGAATATAGCTTGAACCGAAACTAGATGGCCGCAATGTCTTTAGCACTTCCGGTGAACGTTTACGGACGAAGACGGACGCAAAGATTTTGAGGTTCTCGGACTTTGGTTGATTTTCAACGTCGAAGGACTGTGATAACACTGAAGGGGTTAGTACTTGATGCAAATGCTGGGTTAGAAGTATCCCTTCGACTTAGATTATTATTGCTCAAAGTTCACAAAGCGTTGCATTCGAGGTAGAGGAGTGGGGTAGAACGTCGCGAGTACTTAGTGCGCAGGTAGAAATTAACCTAACTCAGCCTGCAACGGCAAAAGCATAGAGTAGCTACTTAATTACGGATCACTTAGGTGTTGAACGGTTAGCGAAAAAGTACATTTTAATAAACTACGTAAGAGGAGATACACGCACACGAGGAGGTCAAGATATCGACGTACCGCCGTGCCAATAAAGGGAATTTAAGCAAGCCCGTAATGAACTACAAGAGGGATAATTTCTCGCGGCTGCCAGTCTGTCGAAATTGCATTACACCCGTTGAAGCAGGAAAACATCGAGCGAACCGATCGGCCGGACCGAAATTGGCGAGACTGGATCTCGATGCGATCGAGGAGGGATCGGACGCGAACGCGTCGGTCCATCCCCGATGCACGCAATGTACTTACGTAGCGTAGAATCGTTCAACGGAACGCGAGCGTAGACATTCGAATTCACCGAGCCAGCAGAAACGTAGTAGATGTATATTTGACGAAAGAATCGGCGACCTTATTCACTGGTAAAGTTGCGTCGAGACGGAGCGAACGATCGATTCGCCACAACGTTACATCCATATTTTAAGAAGGACTGTCTTTACGATTCGCCTCCTTTCGATAAATCAGTGCCGAAGCTCTTTCCACGACTGTCTCGTTAGAGTTCGGTAGGATTTTCGCCTTCCTATGTAGTAATTGGGTTTTCGAGGGCCAATGTCGGGTTCTCTCGAAATTGCGGGTCTTGACTCTGAAGTGACATCGCGGAGATTCTTCGCTCTTGGCTTGAAGGCTAGAAAGCGATGATTACCGCGCGGTCATTGGCTGCCAGCTGGAGTCTAACCGAGTTAAAGAAACGTAGTTACGATGAGTTAAGGATAACGTTTCGTTGCCGCGCGTCCAGATTATCGGGTTTTTGACGGCGCGAATGATCCAACGAAACCAGCAAATTCCATTCCAGCAAAACGATCGTTTAAAAACTTTTCCTCGGCGAGTGCCGACGTAGCGCGATATGTCCTTCTTAAATCGTGGTCACACCGCAAGCCTTTCGCGCCGAGAGCACGCAATTTACCCTAGTATTACATTCCGCATAGTATTTGCAAAATGGCGGCGTACTTTTGTTCTCTTACTTTCTTTTTTCGTGGAGCTGCCAGCTCGGGTGCCGAGTTTTGCCGGCATAGGGCAAAGGAAAACCCATCCTTTTGTATGTACGTTGCTTACGGACGTTAAGTTTTAATGGCCGTTGCACCCCGGTAGGGAGAGGAGGATACGAAGCTTGGTAGACCAACGGGACCACTCCCCGGATGGGTCGTCATCGGGGGAGCGACGAGTCGAGGGGTTAGCGCACGGTGTCGCGCGAATCGCTAAATTGTCGGTGGTACGAGGGAAGTGCAAGCTAGTACTTAATGCCGAGTACTTACGAGACCGTTAGTAATCGATGTACTTAAGCGTCGCTCGGTTTCTTAACGCGAGATACTTGAACGGTGAGGAGACGCGTTTCGCAATTCCACCAATCCGGGTTCCTTCGCGTTTCTCGTACGACGAACGGCAGATTGTAAATACGTCGCGATCGGTAGATTTACGTTTACCATAACTCTCGTTATTATTCATTGTTATCGTAACATTAGTTTTTATTAACATTGCCATCCGTTAATGCGTACGTCACGAGCACGGTACGAGTGTTGAGAAAAACGGAAGAAATCGATTCCGATCCTCCGTCCTAGGCTAGTTGGAGACTTTCCGTTTCGTTTCCCCGTGAGGTCGACTGTCGGTCTTGAATTTAACCTTTCTTTCGAATCAGCAAGATGGTAGAAAGGCGTCTCGTCTCCATCATCGCGGCCGGTTCGCCCGAAGGAGCGCGTCTACCGGAAGAGTTCCGTTAGAAAACGAAGTCGGACATCGTTCGACGTGGCGGACTTTTGAGTTGGATCGGACACCGTGGATGCGAATGCGCCTTCGCCACATTCAGAAGCCTCGACTCTTGGATGTGGCGCGACGTGTCCTTAGACTTTGGCGTTCTGTACATATAATCGCCGATCGATTCTTCAATCGTCGTACGATATTCAAGCGTGTATATTTCGTAAAATATTCTTGTTTATTTTACAATGTATCAGCCTCTGTAAAGATACGGTTTATTATAATATCTGTTGTGATTACGAAATCAGGGTACGTTAATAGTGCTACCGCTTGCTACATCCGACTTCGGTTCCGAGACCGTCATTCTTCGCAGTATTCGACTCTCACGCATATTCGTCGAGTGTAGCGCCGAACGCACATATACTCAACACCTCGACCCGTAGCTTGGCGCTTGGCTGGTTGGGACGCGCGAAGATTTCTAGGAACGATCGTACTTACGCAGATTCGCTGCATGAGAGTTCCGTACGCGATAAGTAGATAAAGTCAAATGGAGCGTCACGAGTGTTCTTCCCTTACCATCAAAAGCGAGCAGTGTCGGTAAGCGTAGGTAAGCCACCACCGTCAACTGACCCATGGTATTACCATCACGAGTACGTGAGCCACCAACGGCGACTGGTAGATGGTACCGCCATCACCAGTACGCGAGCCCCTACCAGAAATTCGTTGCGCCGCCCTTGGGTGCAAAAAAACGGTGAAAGCTTACGTACGAAACCAGAGGGCAGCACAGGATGCGATCGCACGATCCTGCCCGTGAGCAATCTCCCAACTCATCTCTGTACATATCTCGTTGCGTCAGGTAAGCCGCCATTGGATACTGTTAGATGGCATGTCCATCGCTCGAGTGTACCTCCTGCTCTCATTCTCCACGGAAGGCAGCATAGAACCACAGTCGCCCAACCCTCCTCGTAAGCAATCTCCTGCTCATCTCTGACTTAGGGCATGTAGTAACAATAGGATTAGAGGCAGAGATGAGTTGGGAGATTGCTCACGGGCAGGATCGTGCGATCGCATTCTGTGCTGCCATCTGGTTTCGTACGTTAGCTTTCACCGTTTTTTG